CCCCAAAACCCCAAAACCCCAAAACCCCGACCATTAAAATAACTCGCAAATTCCTGATAAATAGTCTAATTTATATTTGCTAATTAATATGCCATAATAATCAGGAAAGAAATAATTGTCTGCAAAGAAGAGGCCAATGTTCTAGGACTCAGATTCAGGATCAGAGGAGATAGAATAAGATATGAATCTATAGCAAAAATTTAAAGCTAATGAAGTTATTTCTGAATCTGAAGATCAGGCTGAAGAAAGTGATGATTTGATTGAGGAATATTAGAAAATGCTGAATAATCAGAGTTAGAGTGATGATTAGGAAGATGATGAAGATATAGGGAATGATGATAGTGATGATGAAGATATGGAATTAGAAGATGATGACTAGGATGACGAAAGTGGAGATGAAGTAATTCATTAGAATGGCAGTCAAATAGATCCAAAGCTGCTTAAGTAAATTATCGAGAAAGACTAACCTGAGCTTAATAAAATACTAGAGGAATATATCTAAAATGTTGATAACCTTAATAACAAATTAAAGCCTATGATGCAAAGAGTATTTGATAAGAATAGTGGAATTGAGACAAAGCATGGAATGACTTATCTAGAAATGAAATATAACCTTCTTAGCTCTTATTGTCAGTTCCTATAATTTTACATGCTATTAAAGCTTGAAGGGCATCCAAATATTAATAAGCATCCTGTAATTAAGAGGTTATTGCACATTAAGACTTTGCTTGAAAAATTAAGACCTTTGGATTAAAAACTCCAGTACCAAATAGATAAAAGTTTGAGGACTGCAGCAATATCTGAGGTTTAATAAGATATAGAGATTGACCCATCTTAACTCTTAGAAAATCCTCTTAACTATAAACCCAACATGGACAACCTCAGAGATCCAGTTAATATTAATGAAGAATTTGAAGATGATGACGAAAGTGCATTAGGAAAAGAAAATGATGAAGACTCTGATGAAGATGAAGAGGAAGATGAGGGAAAGAGATAGATTTATAAGGCTTCCAAATTAAATCCAGTTTACTATGAAGATAAGAATACTAAGAAGCAGAGAAGAGATGATATGCTTTCTAAAAAGAAGATGGGCAAATCTGAATATATAGAATAACTCCGAAAAGAAATGTATGATGAACCTGAGGAGGTACATCTTGGAGGTATGCTTAATAAGAAAACAGCATTTGCTAAGTAAATGTAACTAATGGAGGATATGGAGCAGGAGCATTTTAAGAGAATGAGTTTTTCGAAGAAGGAATTGAAGAATATCAGAAATTAAGAGAAGCAGCATCTATAGGAGAGACTAGATTAGTTCGATGACTTGGGTGATATTGACAAGATCATTGGAAGCAAAAATAGACGTGATAGAGAAGAAATGGAAATGGATGCTTAACTTGAAAATACTAAGTTCTAAAAAGGTCTGAAGAACTATATTAAGAATAATAACAAGCAAAAGAAAGGAGGCAAAGACTTCAAAAATGGCAATGATGACTTCTCAGGTGGATATTAAAAGAAAAGAGATCAGAAAAGTTTTGATAAAAAGTAATAGTTTGGCAATAAAGGTGGAAATCATCAAAATGGCAAAAACAAAAAACCATTCAATAAAAATAGAAGATGAATAAAATAGGCTAGAAGTATTGAGAACTTGTGTGAAATGCAAGCTCATATCTGACTAATTAAGAAATTATTTATTATTTTTAATCATTGTTAATTTAGGAAATCCATAGATATGGGGTTTTGGGGTTTTGGGGTTTTGGGG